AATAGTTCCAATTTTTCGCGGCGGTCTGGAAGTACTGAAAATGTGCAGAAATCCCGAAGAAAGTCCGGAATTTTGTTCATTTTTTTGTCATGTTTGTCGCAATTTGAGTAAAAAATTCAAATTTTTCAAATTTTGTCAAAGAAGGGTACTGAAAAAGTATGAATTTTTCCGTTGAGGAGGCACTGCATTTCTTGGAAATGTACTGAAAAAGTACTGTAAAAGAACTGAGTTTTGGTCAGCCTGTTTCAGTCGTCTTTTGACACCCTGTACCAATCAGCTCCTCCTCGCTAGAACTTCTATACCCCAAATGTGTCTGGTTTTACTGTAAGCATAGATCTCGTTTCGACCTCTCCGCGCACAGCGATAGATATGTCCCGAACGCAGGTTTTTCGTTGGAGAAACGAGACGAGAACGAGGATAAAGAGCGTGTCGGGAGCCCCGAAATCCCGGCCGCACCGAAGAAGAACAGCGCACGAACAACTCGAAGGATGCCAAATTTCTGACGTCAGAATATAATTTAGCGAGAAAATCCGCGGGTATCTTGCTAGGTTGGGCAGCGTCGGAGTGCCCTTAAGACGTTTTTGCCGAGGAGGAGCCACGGGCGGGCGCGCTCGTTCCACTCGACGGCGCGTCGGGCGTCGCGACGTGGCGCGGCGGCCGACGACGTCAGCGACACTTATTACGAGTTCATCACGATCTTGACATTGTGTCCGTCCGTCTGTGCCGCTGCTCACTTTCATTCACAAATCATCGACACGGAGCGAAGCCGCCGCTTCGTGGCAGCGGGGCCACTGGACCAGCCGTGCCTTTGTCCGCGCTTCGCTTACGCAACGCATTCGCTCCACGTGGTCCAAGGCTTCCACGCGACGCCCGACAGGAGTTTACGCCCGCCATTTTCTCACGTCGACCGGCACATAGAACTTGAACATAGAGTACATAGAGTCGTAATGTAAATGGGAGAGCTGGCGCCATGTTTTGCTCGACGAATTCCGAGCCCGGTGTGCGCCGAGTTCGGGTCGCTTTTTCCATACATTTTCGATACAAAATGTCGGTGTGGAATACGTGGTAATTCCTATCTCCTCTGTTGTTGTTGTTGTTGTCATCGGATGGCCGGGTACCCGTGTATCGCAAACAATCGATTATGTATCGAAAAAGTGACCCGGCGTCACACAGGAGTCTCGGAATTCGGGACATGGAAAATGCTTAAAAGTGGCGCCAGCTCTCCCGCTTACATTACGACTCTATATACTCAATGAACTTGAATCACTGTATTTCCGTCCTAAGGAAGAACGCCGTATGAACCTTCAGACGTTGCCAAATGAATCAGTGAGTTCGAAAACACACCAACTCGGAAAAAAAATTGTTCAGGAAGCACCTAAAACTGCGCAGCGGGCGAAGAAGTTAGTTCGAGGGAAACATTTTTGGTGCCAAAGGACAAGTACTTGGAGACTTTGTAAAGCACCAAGCTGAAATCGATAACCATATTTAAAGACAGCGAATTGAGCTTTTAAAAATTTCCGAGTTGGTGTGTTTTCGTTCTCACCGACTTTTATAAACTGATTTTTCGTAGTCTGCCCTGAAAAATTTATTTTTTTCGACCTGAATAAAGTTTGAATATTTATATAACTTGATGGTACAAGGTATACATGAACCGAAAGAAGAAAACCGCAAAATCGGATGGTCACCCGTTTCCCTTGAAATGGTCAAAAATTGGTATTTCCAATGAAATACTCCGATTTTTCCCTTTGCCCGTCGCTGTTTCGAGCACTTCTGATTGCAATTTCGAAATTTCCTTTTGCGTGCAGATGCTTCTATCCGTAAGTGTTACTAAACCGTAAAAACGTGAAAATCGAAAAAAAACCGAGTTGGTGTGTTTTCGAACTCATTGATTCAAATATCCTTTGATAAAGCACGGATTTCCTGGTAAACTTATATTTTCCTTCCAACTTTTCAGATAATTTTGTTCGCAATTTCATCTAAAGATCCCGAAGATATCAAGGAAGAATATTCATACCATTCCTCAAAAATAAACATTTCATCGGCGGCGAGCTATAAAAGCGTCAGTCACTCCTCCGCGTGTGTGTGATCTAAATAAGCTTGTCATTCATAGTGATACCACTATTCGACCACGTGGGAGCTCGGATTGCCTACACTATAAATTGAAGGCGAATTGGCGTTGCGTTAAAATCTCCTCTCGTGGCGTGGCTATCTCGAAACAACATTGTGCTCATTGTCAGTTGTGACATCTCGCGCTCCACGGGACAAAATGTATAAATCGCATGTAAGGCAGCCTTTGATAGTGTTGTCGCCATGAAGCGATTGTCTCATCTTTGAGACGGAGATCCTGAGTTTTGCGCACCGCGATTTTCTTCGCATGGACCGCCATTACTTGTTTCACGATCAAGTCGAAGGACCCCTGAACGCACGCGTCTGCGTGTCTGGTCTCCAACAAAGCTGATCGTTGTCTGACCTTTAAAATTCGACTCGAGGTATTTGACCGTGCTGCTTCCTACCCAAGTCCCCGTCTATTGTCCTAAATTCGTATTAGTCTCTGACCGTGGCGGAAACGCAATGCTAATTCAGCCGATTAAACGAGATTTAATCGCCGTTCGCTTCCTATTTCTTTGTTTTCTGTATTTTGCGTCTAGCCGGTGGATTTCTTTTCGTATGATTGAATATTTGGCGCCCTCGAGCTTTGAAAGGCAAGAGCTTTTGAACTGCTAACTTGTCAATAAAAAAGGAAAAAAAATGCAAAACATTCAGAATTTTCTCGCCCACCCCACTGATAGAGCCGAACTTTTTTCCGCAACATCTTCCGAATGATAGCCCGTGAAACAAGTGTAAAAATTGATGTTAAATCAAATGAAAGCTTCTTTTTTCAATTTAGGTATCGTCCTTCTGCAAACTATTTTACGGAAGATCGTCCAATTTTTCTATTGTTTATGTTTACATTTAAGAACCTGCTATTGTATACCTGTACATCTCTTCCTATTTTTATGGATATGTTTCTGTACCTTTCCTTTTCATCGCGTTTATTTTTACTTTTACCGAGTCACCGGTTTTTGAAGAATCTCGTAACTTTCGGTGAAATCAGGATTCTGTACTGTAGGCACCACGAGCAGATAGCTTCAGATTGCCAAAATTACAATAAGAATATCTATCGCTCCACCGAAGCACCGAAAATTTGTTGCTCCGTCTTACTGTGTCGTGGCTACAAAACTTCCGCACGGATCAATGATTCTTTCCAACCGCCTCGAGTAACGTCATTTAACGTCGAGGAAAATGGCGGCCAAACCCCAACTGCCCTGTAATTTTACTCGATTAACCTGGAGTTGAGCTCCTCTCAGCTCTGTTCGCCGAGAACAGCGCATGTCTTACTCTAGCTCCTCGCAGATGCGGGTTTTCACAACTGCTGAGTGACGAGGAATCGAGCAGTGGCGGTTACGCTCTCGTGTAACTACTCGGCGCCTTTGGCGAAAAACCCCTCAAGTCCAGCGAGAGCTCTATGTCTATCGGAGGTTTGGCCGAGCGCGGCAGTGGCAAGCACATGGTCAGCCGCGACGCGACGAAGCAGACCTTGGGAGCGTTCTTTCAACCGCTTCTCCGCGGTACCTTACTCCTGCCGCGCTAAGCTAGAACCGCCTAACTCCCGTGGGGAACCCCATGGAGATACGTGGTTGTTCCCGAGAACGGTAGACTTCCTCCCATTCCGCCGGGCTGGGCTTCTCCCGCCATCGCTCGTCATTCATCTGTGTCGCTGTCTCGGTGCGTATTTATAGTAGCAGACCCGCCGTTGCCGCCTCATCGCCATCTCCACGAACACTCAGAGCGGAATTGAAGGGTTTCCCCGTCGATTTGGCAACAGGCCGGGCTCTCAGGTCTAGTGGTACTTACAACTCGTTTATTTCGCGCCGAAGCNGGGGGGGGGGGGGGGAACGCTGATTTTTCACTAACCATTGGCAATTATTTTTATCGCTCTCTCGATATGTGCTCTGCATTCCTGTGCGTGGCCGGAGAGAGGTAACCTTGCGCGCGCGGCACTGCTCAGGAAGTTATTCGTCGTCGAAAATCGCGGATATCCCCTCAATGAAGTCGGAGGAGAGACTGGAGTTTTCCAGGGCTGTGCAACTTGTCCTTCATGAGAGTTGAAACTGTCGCAATACGCGTCCTTAATTTAATAATTAAAGTAAAATGCGTATTCGTCATTGAAATTTGTCGATTATCTTTAATGAAGATTCCCTTCAACATCGTAGGTATGCAATTTGAGCTACACAGGAGTTTGCATAGTTGAATCATATGTTTTACTTTGAGTGCGCGCATTCGGCATAGAATCTGAGCTCTGATTCATATCTGAAGCTTTCAAAATTTTATCGCGGTTGGATGGTTTTTAACTACCAGGAGAATTTTCTCAGCTTGTCTCAGAAACGACGTATCAGTCTCCGATTTTTCTAGACTTAAAGGTGTATTCAAGAATATACGTTCGGTTCCTGACTTCCCAAGCTTTCAATTTTGTCCTTGATGAATCTAGGTACGGAGGTACCGTGCCAATTTCTATGAATGTTGGATTATCAATCATCAAATGCGAATAAGCTCTGTAATAATTTGCCGGTTTTTTTGTGATGTTGAAATTGATGGGGTTTTTATGAGGCCGGAGAGACCTCTATTTTTTAGCTGTTGTTCACAATGATTGAATCGGGACGGGCGAAATCGGCTAATGTCCATTTTTCCAGTCTTCAGTTTTTTTTGAGTTGATACTACTTTTCGGAGTTGGATTCAACCAAGTTGTGTTAATACTCGTCTCCAAGATACCTTAATCCCAAAACGAGTCCTTTCATCACTTTAATGGTTGTATCAACTCAAAAAAACTGAAGACTGGAAAAATGGACGTAAGCTGTTTTCGCACGTCCCGATTCAATTGTTATAATTACCACTATGATGTCATTATGGTTGTCATCGCTCCGGACAGAACTAACGGCTTGGTTTTTTTGGGTGTGTTGCAGGCTGCAAGATCAAAGCGCTGCGCGCGAAAACGAACACGTACATCAAGACGCCGGTGCGAGGCGAGGAGCCGGTGTTCGTGGTGACAGGGCGGAAGGAGGACGTGGCGAAGGCGAAGCGGGAGATCATCTCGGCGGCGTCGCACTTCACGCAGATCCGCGCGTCCCGCAAGAACAACCTGGCCGGGGGCTCGCTCACGCCGCCCGGACCCCCGATCAACGTGCCCGGACACACGACGATCGAGGTGCGCGTCCCGTACCGCGTCGTGGGCCTCGTGGTCGGGCCCAAGGGCGCCACGATCAAGCGGATCCAGCACCAGACGCAGACCTACATCGTCACCCCCTCGCGCGACAAGGAGCCCGTCTTCGAGGTGACCGGCCTCCCCGAGAACGTGGAGCAGGCCAAGCACGAGATCGAGGCCCACATCGCCGTCCGCACCGGCACCGGGAACATGTCCCCCGACGGAATGCTCTCCAACTCCCCCGTCATGGAGGACGGCGACCTCCTCAACTCCCTCTGCAAGTCCGGCTTCGGCTCCCTCTTCAACTACACCAACTCGGACACCGCCCTTAGCTTCCCGCCCTTCTCCGGGAGCTCCGGCTGCAGCTCGGCCGGCTCCGCGTCGTCTAGCTCGTCCAATTCGGGCGCCAACCCCCTCAACGACCTCTGCAACATCTGGAACATGTCCTCCTCTCTGGATCGCGACGAAGGGATCGGCGACTCGCCCTCCTTCGAGACTGCCAACGCCACCTCGAATATCTGGTCGTACCCTTCGGTGACCCGCCAATCGGCGTCGCCCACCGACTCCCTGTGCGGCAAGAGGGATTGCGTCGTCTGCGGGGACAAGGAGGTGACGGCGGCTCTGGTCCCGTGCGGTCACAACCTCTTCTGCCTGGAGTGCGCCAACAAGATCAAGGGCAGCGCCAACGCCACCTGCCCCATCTGCAGCACCCTCGTCATGCAGGCCATCAGGATCATCTCTTAAGCTAGATTTTGTTATCCTATTTCAAAATTTTATCTCAACCCTACTCTGACGATCCCGGCTAGCCGGGTCTGAACTTTATTATTTTCGAGCCCTTCACTTTATCTTTTCCTCAACGTATCAACTTGTACTTAACTCCTTTCAACTCCTGCGAAAAATGAAAGAGAAAGACATTATTTCTAATTTTACCTTTTATTGTTAACTTGTTGTTTTGTTAGATATATATGTTCAAATTGTTTTATCATGTTTTGTTTTTCATATTGTTTAGGTGATCTCACTTCGTACGGCTTATTTATTATTTATTAAATTATTTCTTTATTTTTCTTTTTTTTCTCAGTTTAATTTTATTCGATTTTATTTATTATTTTTTATGATTTTTTTTATATTTTTTTATCAAGGTTTATTTGCGTTTTTACGGTTACATTTGAAATTTCCAGTATTGAACAGATTAAACTCGGTGACTTTTTTTTATTGCAAATTATGTCTTCACCTGACTTGTAAGCTTTAAGAGATGAGGCATTGATGAAAAGACGAAGCATTTGTAATGCATATTACTATTCATAATTTCTCTCTTGAACATTTCTACTGAACTCATTACGACCACCGGTTGACCACTTTCATTTTTTAAAAGAAAAAAGTTATTGAGGTTTATTGTAGTGAGACTTAATTTAGGAAATAATTTTATATTTTTCACCAACCTTGTTGTTTGAATTCTAGAAATTTTAACCAGGTGTACCGAAAACATCTTACTCCATAAATGAGGGATCTGATATCATGAATGATATATCACTTTTCCTTCTCTTTCCTTTTCCAAAACAATTAAGCTTTAACAATGTTATTTTAAAGAGAAAAAAACGAGTGAATTAAATTAAAAGATACTAAATATATGATATATTTTATTGTGTGATTTAAAAATTTTAATTATGTTAAAAAGACTTATAACTGAATTTGTAAATATTTATCTATATGAGCTGAATTTCTAATTTATTTTATTTTTTCCCTTCAGTTACTTTATTTGTTATAACGATAATGATTAAATTATATTTATTATATTATATGTATATAGATTTATAACTTAGTTTTCCTTTTCCATTTTTTCTCTTGCGTTCATCTCTCTTAAAAATGGCTCTCAGATTTTTTTATTTCCTTCCATTCTTCGAAAATGAGATGGTTCAGCATAATACTCTTAAGATGGCTCATATATTTATTTTCGTAATAAAAATTTAAAAAAAAAAGAAAAAAAATTAAAATTGAGTAAATCATATTAAGAAATAAGTTTTTATAAACATCAGACTGTGATTTATTATACTGCCAATAGTTTACAGTAAGTAACATTCATCAAACTTCACACACTTCTAATTATCTCTATCAGTCTCTTCTTTTTCTTTCAGTCCCATTCGTACTATTTTGCAGCTACCTTTACGGCAGTCCTATTCCTAAAATGTTTAGACTTGCTGCCTGCCCGTATTCTTACTTGTATTCCTTGTTTGAACTATCTTCAGCCGGATACTTTTCCAAAACAAAACAAAAAATCCTAATTTCTCAAAAGTTGAATATCCCCGTTGCATTAATTAGCCAGGTATTCATTTGTATTCCTCCCAAATCTTGACGTTGTGTCTCATCCAAGGGGGTTAGACTCGATCTATTGCGCTCTTTTTTCAAAATCAACCGTATTTGAGACGTTTTTTACACCCGGTTTTTGGCAGGGAATTTCAAAGATTAACGTCTGCTAATGTGATTCTGTTGAAGCACCGTCAGTCACACGAGAGGCAGCGACCGGTCGCCAAGTTTTGCGAAAAACCGATCAAGTTTTCGATTAATCCTGTGACATTCTCGCCAGTTTCGGCAACGTTGCTTCCTCTTTTCGGCAACTCTTCGTCTCCGCTTCCAGGAATCACTTTCCTCATCTTTTGTCGTCCATTACCTGCAGTTTTCATTCTTATTTTCTGTATGAATAGACCCGGGCCGTAGCAGCAGCTTCTCTCATTTCTCAAAAATCCCGGATTGTGTGTTCTCTCTCCTCCCCCGTTTGTCCGGACCCCTCGGCATTCCCTAGCGGCTCGAGTGTGTTGTAGCTTCGCACCACGCAGGCGCACCGCCAAGACCACCCGTCCGTACCCAGAATTTCTCATTATTTTACGATTTCATGTGAATTTTTCAAATTTCAACCGGTCGAAAACTTAGTAAAATTTGTCCCTTTAAAATGTCCTAGCCCACTTTTTATTCATAGAAGTACTCGCCAAAGCAAGTGTACAGTTCACAGGCATTAATTACCATGTAATTATTAAGCCCGTTACTTTTTTTCAATTTTCTCTAGGTACTGAAACAGTATCTACCTTCACAAATGGACTTTGGACCATAATTTGTGGAAAAGTATCTGTTGCTAGTGACTCGCGATTTTTTCGCACGAGGAAAACGCTGGTTGCCCCGTTTTCGGTTTTCTTCTTCTGCTTGTACGACTTTTTCCTCTTTTCGTATGGAGATAAGCATCTGCGAGGGCAACTTAGACTCTTAGGGTGCCTTTAAGACTGACTAAATCAAAATTTTCAGCTCGACGCTTAAGACTCTCCATTTTATATTTTGATTTTTGAAGCTTCAAGCTGCTTATGAAATGAAATAGCAACTGAGCTGGAAAATGATTCATTTTGATGCAGTGGTTGTTTACTTAGATAAGTCGCTTTTGAAATACCCCCCCCCTCCTCCCCCTTTTTCTTTAAATTATGTGTTGATTTACTCTCTGGTGTTCCCACCCTGTGAGGAAAGTTTTTGGCATAGGCTTTACAAGCGGGAGTTTGGATAGATTTGTTTAGGTTTGAATTTTATGTTGTAACATGTATTGGCACCCTGTGTTAGTGTCTAAATGTTGTGAATATGGTATGTTGATTGTCACTCTTCTCGTTTGGATTCGTGTTTTTGTTATGAGATGATTAGGCTATTCATTATTAACCTCCAATTTGGTTAACTTTTCAATTCTAGCTGATTTTAATTGCGATTTATAGCACTCAAGTACTGTGAGACAGGCCCAGAGATGTTTGTTGACTAGCTCAATTTTTATGTTGTTTTTCCCTCGGTATTTTAGTCTTACTTACTCAATTATTCCCCTCTACGTGTTTAATTAACTTTTTGTTACTAGTTATCAGAGCAGTATACGCTTTTTCTTCCTTTTTTTACGAATTTTATTCATATTTTTGTTTCGAGAGTCTACCAAATGCCTCTCAGTATTTTATGACTTCTTTTGCATTCATCTCGTACTTACGTGTGTAAGTGCATGCTCCCTTTTACTTAATATTCCAGAATCATTTATTTTGGCAGCATTTTAGTTTTTTATTTTTCTCGACTGTCTTTAATCGGCGGTTTATAGCTTAAAGTTTTTTCGACGTTTCGGTTTTTCTCCTCTAAGAAGATAATTCTAAACTCGAATCCTAAAATCATAACTAATATCCTTTTTCACCCCCCATTGAACTGCGTCCCAGGGGCACTTCCTGATACCTTTTCCCATTCCTATCATTAAATAATTTTGTTCTCCATTTAAATAATTGCTCGAAGAAATGATTTGAATGAAGCTGATGCAAAATTAATTTGAAAGGAAAAAGTAAGTTTAAAAAGGAAGGGATAAGTATTTTTATAATTTAAATGTTATTTGTATGTCTTTAATGTGTATTAGGTTTTAGTAGGTATGTACTTAGACGTTTGCCACTTTTGGGCTCACGTTGCTTAGGCCATTGGTAAGAGTATTCTGTTGCGCCATTTTCTTTTAGTCGGGAGGAAACTTTCCATAGATCTTTGCCCTGCAAATGTTACTTAGTACTCATTTCTGTCCCCTATCTTCTTCCTTTCCCTGAAAGTCTCATTTGTGTTTTGTATATCTTGACCTGCTCCAATAATTTATTCAATGTTAGAACTATCATCATCGTATGGAAATATCATGTGTGTATATATTGCATGTAAAGTATATACTACCTTGCATAATGTAATGAATTCACATTATTGAAAGATGGTAGGTATAGGAAGATATTTTTTTTATGTATTTAGTTACTTTTTTATATTACTGTTCAAAAATATAAATATTTATAAAAACATGGATAAATTAATGTTTTATTACTTAAATATATTTTTTATTATTTGTAATAAGAAACAATTTTTCGCAATCCCCCCTTGCCCTCCCTTAAAAACCAATTGTCATTGATGGATTGGTCATGTCACAGAAATACACCCGTGGTTACCTACCCCTAGACTTATTTATTTTTTCTATTCACTTTTTTATTTTGAAATATTTTTAGACTCTTAATGTTATTTTGTTTGAGACTTTAATGCATAATAACGACAGCTTTATCTGCAAATGTAAATATACCTCTCCTCTTTTTGCTGCAAAAGAATTCAAAGTCATTCTCTTCAGTTAGTGTTAACTCTATTTAATGGCTCAAAATTATCACTAACAGTCAAAAATAATTTTTAAGAAGTCATTACTGTTTCTGAAAATATGCGTATGGACCTATAATTTAGCTCTGCACTTCTTAATCACCCTTTTTTACAAGCACATCCAACAAATAGACATGAAAAAACTTGAATATTATGATTAAAATTGCTGGGGGAAAAATCATTTCATAATAGTGTTTCAGCCACTCTTAGAAAATTTTCTATTTCATGTTAGAATACCCCATAAGTTAATTTTCCAGTTTTTAACTTGTCCTGGTTTCTGAAATATTCCTGCCTCCTGGGTGTATATATGACTGCTCCTTTACAAGAATCAAATATGTGTGTATGCTCTTGTGTCTCTCGTCATCATTTGTCAAAACTTAATTTTGTACAATCATTTCAACCATCTGGAACTATTTTCAGTACATTTACTCACTTAGTTTAGAAATGGTTAACCACCGTTATTATTAAGGACATAAAAGATAAGGGAAAAATGATTTATTTATGCATAAATTCTGTTAAGTCAACAAATGATTTATTTTTATTTTTAACATTTCAATATATCTAGCTATTTTCAAGCAATGAAGCATTTAAAGGCAATAAATGCGGTCCGCAAATTTTACTAACCAGACTGCTACTTATTGAGATGGTGTACATTTACCATCCTCTATTTCTCAAGTTTCTAACAAGATTGGGTAATTCATTATCTTTCAATACTAATGCAATCTAGTTCTAAAGTGCGAATTTTTTTTTTCTCTCTTTTTTTTTCTTTCAGTGTGGTCATGAAATTAGGTTTGAACTTGCAGAAATGTTTATCAATAGTTTTGTTAAGCAGCTCATAGTAATGTGTCATTATAAGTATCTTCCAAGTCGAGGTTTACGTTAGGTTTACTTTAAATTGAATGACCTCATGAATTAAAAGTTTCTGAAATGCCCTACTCGTGAGTTCAAGGTAACAGCTTGCAGGCTCAGTGCTTGAATTATACAAAACATCATCAAGTTAATCCCCCAACTATCTCTTCATGTCAGCAAGTCCATGGATATTTTACTTTCAAAAACTGGAAGAAAAATAGTTTATGGACTCTAGATTAGGTACTGGGGGTTTGTAGGGAATGTGGAAGGACTCATTGAACACATAGTGACTATTGAGAACAGGACTGTTTAGCATTATTCACTAGGCCTAATAGTTTTAAAATATCAGTCTTGGTTTCCATGTTTTTGGACTGGAAACTTTAAATAAGTATCCTGATATTTTTCTAATCGTTTTATAAGACTCATTTTTGAATCGAATTTCATCAGCCCCTGCTATAACACCAAATAAGCACCATCAAAATTAAACATTTTCGCTTAGTTTTCCTCCCCATCACACTTTTTATAATGTACTCATACTAAATCCTTGGCGAATTTTTTGTGATTTTCTGAATGGGTCATTTCTTTTTTCTGAGGGCAGTTTTCTGATTTCTAATCTGGTCCGGCTGAGTTTGTCTTTTAAGACCAAGACTTCATAAATTTACTCATCTGTTACATCCTAGGTTCATGGTCCCTATTATGAGAGAAATATCACTTCCTCTCTCATTCATTTTCCCATGTGACCATGTATTTTCAATCATTGTGATCAAACTAACATGTCACCTTCTGTGTAGACTCTTTTTCTGAAAAATATCAAAAAATAATCTCCCACATGTTCTTATCTGCAGTCTCAAATGTTGGGCTTTTGGAATAATGATGTCAAAAAAGACGTACTTTTCGGTCTGCTAGTTGTATCAATTTTTCACCTCCCCTTTGTTCCCTCTGCAACGATCTTGTATCTTCAAACCTGACCCTGAAGGTACTTCCTTTTTTTTGGCTAAGTTTAACTATCTCTCCTCTGAGTGTTTTCTGTTTTCTTTTTAAAGGTATGTTTGTACCCATAATTGAGACACCATATAAATATTGACGCATCTCTTCTAGAAGTTGCAACGGGAAGCACCATCAATTGTAATTGCGAATCCTCAGTTAAAATAATACAGTCAATCCTGATATCAATTTTTTAGGGCCTGTGGTAGCACATTCCCTTACAAATATTGTTCCATGCTTCCATTATGCTAAAGTTGGAAGCCTATTTAGTCACACCAAGGTCAATTTTAATTGTTTACTCTGGGGATTACATAGCAAGCTACTTAATACTCATTTACCTACTAATGACACTAATTCCATCATACTCTACTCAATCTCTTATCTTAACAATATGTGTGAAAATGTTTGTCCAAAAGAAAGAAAAATTTGGCAAGGCGATAGGATCATAAATACATGCATTAGGAGAAATTCATACTAACGTAACAAATGAACTGACACCAAACTCAAACGTAAATCTGTGAAAGTCCTTGATTTTTAGGAAAATGTTTCTCAGCTAAGTCTACAACCACGTAACGTTAAGAAACTCTCACCTAGTTTAATACTCAAAGAACAAACATTCCATGACAATTTCATGCCCTAGCCAGTCAGGAAAGGCTCTGTGGTTTTTAATGCCAGCTAAAAAAACTGCAGTAATAAAGCTCTTGATTTTTTAGGAGAACACTCATGTACTTACTTGTGAACGGAGATGAAAGGATCTGAAGGATGACTTCTAATCTTGAAATGAGTAGAAGTAGGTGAAGTTGAATTACCTACCCAAGCACTACTTGATAAGATATTTATTTTATATGTATAAATGAAATATATTTTTATTCATTTTTATATGTATTTATCCTTTCGCTCAAATTTTCAACTTTTTGAACAAGTTTCCACGATTTTAGTCAGTAATTATTGCATTTTAAGCATTCTTACGTAAGCTGTAATTGTTGTCATTTTTAATCATTAAAATTTAGTCTCAAGTATTGAAATTTTAATTATTTATTTTTCTAAATTGCGTTACCTAAATGAATTGTATCTACTTATTTCAAAACAAAAAAAAAATAAAAAATAAATAAATAAATATGCTGAAGGAAATCCTTTCCATGCAGTGTAATGAAATTATGTTCACTTGTGAATAATTGATAACAGATTTCCATTAATAAAGGTACACTTCTTCATTCGTAAAATTAAACCCTCTCTTGCAATGTAGACTCAAGTAAGAAAGCTTTCGCCAAGTAACTTGTTGACATTTTCTGTTGGAATGCTACTTTTCTCTGTAGTTTATTTTTCTAATTTCCATTGTTTTCAATTCAACACCTAATCATTTTTTTATCCTTTGTATTTTGACCTCCTGTCCCTCTCATAAGTCTCTTGCTGAGTTGCTTTTGCAATGAATCATCAACGTAAATCAGTAAAAAAAAGCTCTTTGACTATTTTTTCTACGATGTTATGTAACCCTAGTGAAGGGATCATCACTGAAATTAAAGTATACTTGTGAGAACATTCTGCTACAGCAGTCTTTTTCTTAAGTAAGAGAGAAAGAAAATTCAATTAAAATCATCTCATTACCATCCAGCCCCTGAAATGACACACGCTGAAAACCCTGTTTCTTAATCCATTTTAATACAAAAGAATAGAGCAAACCTCTACTATTTTCACTCTGGTTGGAAGGAGTAACTACCAGAATCTGTTCCTTCAGAAAGACTTCATTAATTTAACATGCTGCACTGGTTCTGTGAACCACTCTAATTCTTTGATCTAGCGAGTTTCTTGAAATTCTTTTCTCCGCGAACCATTATAAATTGCTAATGTTATTTCAGTGCTTCCATTTTCATTGCTAGCACTGTTTGCTGATCATGACTTGTAGAAAATTTGATTGTTCGAGCTTTGATTTCGTCCTTAGAATCTCGGACCTGACTGAAATTTTACGACCAGATTAAATATAAATGTAGTTAGCTGTAATGACTTTCATTGTAAAGATACTAATTCCATTAAATGATTGCTGCAAAGACTTCACCAAATGGATACTGAAATAGTAGATATAAGCAATTTATTAAGAATTGTTGTAGAACCTAGGTAGTGACATTCGATTGATTTTGAATAGGTAATTAGATAATCAAAATCCAAACTCGGCTGATAAACTAGATTGACTCTACGAGCTGCTTTAGCATAGTGTTTTTATCTTTCCAAGTATTGAAAATAGTTAAGTGTAGTTGTGTATGTTAATGTAAAATATATTTCTATTTTTTTATTTCCTCATAAAATAATTGTAGTTGTTCATGTCACCCATGTAAGTCAGACAAACTAACAGAATTACTTTAAATCATTTTGTACCGATCGGTGAACATTCCTCTTAACATTATTAATCAATTGCTGAACAGCTGCTTTCTAGACTTATTCGCTAAGTCCTTGATAGCTGTGAGATTTCAAAAAGAGATCTGTAATTTGAGTTGAAAACAGTTATTAAAATCAAATTTAAGCTGTAGCCACTTACTTACTGAATGCAATGGTTGAAAATTTAGTATCAGACTGTAAAATGGATGAGGTTCTCTGGCTAAAAACTTTACAATTATTTCAATCATGCCTCAGTTAATATCTTTATTTTCCGTGACCATTTTGCCAACTGACACAAGCTCATGACTCAAAATGTAATATCTCTTTGCAAAATGTGCAAATCTTTTGACTAGCATTCTTTCAATTTGAAGCATTAATCATTGCTGACTGATTGTTTCCGGGTGAAAAATTGTCCTGTCATTTGTTCCCTGTTTGTCTTTTTCAGTCCCATGTGTTATTGTAAGTAAGTAAACGTTGTTCTTGGTACCTTATTTTGTAAGAAGTGTTCCAATTGTGGGGAAGAAAGTTTTTTTACATGAGGGGAAGGAAAATGAATCCTTGAAAATCTTAATGTAACCAACAATTTTTTCCAATTTAAAGTTAGGTAATTGAATATTATCAAGTAAAGTAAATTATTTCGGCGTAAAAGCTAATCAAAATTCTCTTTTTGAAAGTCTAGAAAATTTTTTTAATGATAGATAATTTGACAGTTTCATTGATCAAAAAGCATGGTTTTAGTTGGTTTTAAAGTTTGATGTGTGTCTAGTAAAATCAGCAGAGTAGGTACCTCTTTTGACATTAATCTTAAATTTGGTTTTTCTGAACTGTAACTGTCCTAGTTGTTTTCTACTTGTTTTACTTTCAATGAAAGACAAAAATAGGATTTAGACCTTGTATCATTGCGATTTCGAACTGTTATCTCATCTTCTCAGTAGACGTAACGTCTAGCAGATAAAAGAAGGATTGGTAGGCCAATGAATTCCAGATTTGTTGAAAAGTTAATGGATTGTATTAAGTTTTGTGTTAGGCATATAGTGTGTTGATTAAGTGTAAGGTATGGAGTTGAGAAGTAGGCAAAATTTAATGTAAAGTTAAACAAATTTATGAATTTAACTGAAGGTTGGAAAGATTGTTTTTGTAAATAAAACCTAAGGTCTGATCCATTTGAAGATTCACTAAGAAGTGACGTACTTCAGAACTCCTTCCCTCTTTTGTTGTTGCATGTTATTTTTCCTTCTCAGCTGACATTGATCATGTAATGACTAATGTTCTGGAGTTTTATTCTCTTCAGAGTTATTAAGTACGTTGAATAGAATCTCTCAAAGTTGTTCATTTCAAAAATCGGTTTTGTGTCTTGATTAGAATAAATATCTAGGAAATGTTAGCCTATGGAAGTATACAGACCTGGGTTCTGTGCTGTCATCTTGTTCTTGAAGCGTAAGCGATTGAATGCGTATTGTATTAATTAGAAGAAAATTATTGAATTTCTCGAGTAATAATGTTGAGAGACTTGGGCTCTTTTTCCTCCTTACCATAAGGTGGTGAAGTAGTAATATTGTTTACTCGGTAACTAATGAATGTTGGGAGTGTATTCTTGGTACTTAATGAACTTTGCCTATGTTATATATGTATATTTTGTTCGTGCCAGATTAGGTGTGTTATTCATTTAAAAAATGTTTAAGCATTAAACGGTGGGATCTACGATTCCTAAAGTATCTTCTCTCAGTATTTATATCATGAGTAGTTTTGCCATTGACAAAAGTTTTGAAATAAATGTAGAGTGACTATCAGTTGTTATATGTTCTCTTTTGTTTATTAACTTATTTATTGATTTATTTATTTCTTTATTTTTTCAGTTTTTATTAATTTTATTTTCCTGCTGATTTACTTCACCAATTTGCATTTAATTTTAAAGGAAGAAAGCGCTAGAACAATGCTCATTTTCTGTAATTTTAATATTTTAAGTTGTTTTTTCTTTTGTTTCTAAGTTTGAAATGTTTATTTGAAAGAAAAAATAGACCTAAAATTTATCATTGTCAAATTAAGTTATTTATTTGAATACCACCTCCTCAATTGTAAGAATCTCACTTTCAAATGCCAGTTTCATCGTAAAAAATTCTGTTACCGTTGCTTGAAAAATTTTTCTGTGCTTTATTCATTTGTACATTTATTTGAGTTTTTCTTCAATCTTTATTCGTTATTTTCCTCCTTGTTTTCTTTTTGTCGGAGTTTTAAAAGTAACCTATACTGTGTAAATGACTGAATTTTAAAAGCAATAATAACTACTGATAAATTCATTATTTTACTTCATTTTTCCCGGTTTAAATTTCAACCTTAATTTTTTCCATCTCATTTTATTTTCCATTTTTTATTTTCTTTTTTTTTCCCCCCTCTCTTTTTTTCTTAATAATGAGATATCAGGTAGTTGTTTTTTGTTTGATTTTACAATCTGAACATTCTTACGGAAAAACTGCTCAGCATAGGTATTATTATTATTATTTATAAAGTAATATCACTATTTATTTATATTACAAAATAAACATTTTCAATGTATTTTCGCTGTATTTATCTCTTACACTTCCTCCTATGGTTAGGTCTATCATCACCTGCTATCTTTGAAAGAAAGATAACGTCCATTTACTGTACTTTCGAAATAATTTCAGATCAGAATCCTTCAGCATAAATGAGTAAAGCTTACCAGAGATTTTATTTATCAAGCAACGCAACTCATAGCCGGTTTAGAACTCTGAAATATATTTTTTCTTCGGTAACCACATATTCTGATAAGTACATGGTTTCACATGCACCCATGAGACGTATGGACTTCATTTTGCAATTCGGAACTACAACTTCCGACCCATCTGTAAAATCACTTATCTGGATAGAGAAACTAATGGTACATTCGATGGTTAAACTGAGGCACAATTTATAGTTCCTAACTGCAAAATGTAGTCCATATGGTCATCGATTTACTTATCAGGAAATGTCAATTCCTAATTTCCTAAACCAAGGAAAGTAATAATTAAGGTCGCCGAGAGACACTATGCTTCGTCAGGATTTAAAATGAAATAGTCTCCGTTATCCAACACACGAATTATTCAAAGGACAGTTTAAAAGTTTGATACTTAATCGGGCCCGTCTTAAATTGAAGAGTTCGCCCGCAGAAGAGCGTTTCTAAAATTAAGGCTCTGGTTTGAAAATCAATTATAACAGCATCTGCGCATCTTTGGAAATACATCATTTTTTCATCCTAATCTGACGCTCCAGTGTGAAATATGTGCAAATAAACAATTTTCCTAAAGCTTCAAATGAGATTAGTCAAAAACAAACATTTTTCAAAGACGCCCTTCTGCGAGCAAACTCTTCAATTTTAAAAAATTACCCATGAATGTAATCATCCTCATTAGAAATGAATGAAAATCCTATTGAATGATGGATCAGCCACACCACCCTAGAGATTATTTTAAAGCTGGTGAAATGATCCCAAAATTTTTAAAAATTTTGTGTAGATGGGTCACCAATCCTGCTACTGTGCCAGTGGAGTATACCTATTAAGAACTCGTCTGAACTGGGGTAGTCAGGAGGCTCGATTGGTTTGCAGCATTGCGAAATTTCACCTGACAATTTATTCCTTCGTTCATAAATCTTACTTTTAATAATTCAGGAAATCTCCATCAGATCACATAGAGAATTTGCATCAAACTTAGAGAAAAAATTGGCCAGCGTTATTGAGTACTTCGAATAAAAAAACATGGAAATATCGATGTCCAAAGTGTGAATACACGTACCTTCATTGCGATGTTTCAGAAGTTCCGCTTCTTTTTTATATTTTCGAAGAGCAATAAGCTTACTTTATAGCTTATTTATGACGGAATTTTCTGCCAATAGGGAGGACAATTCAAAGGAGTATTCAAAGAGACTACTTAGTTTTCCGAAGAAAAAATAAAGTATGACAGGAAGTCTGCAACGTCGCAAATGGAGCCACGTGGTTTCGAACTTTAGCCATTACTGGAGGCTTTAACTGTTAACCCTCTAGGGCCCAAATGTCAAATTAGTAAGCCCTGCTTTATTCGGATCATAAGTGGATTACATTGTTTCTCGCTCGTTCAAACCAGTTCGCCTTCAATTTCTCGGTAGGCAACTTAAGCGGCTTTGGAGCAGTAATAGTTGCTTGCAGCAGTTTTGTCTTATTTTTTCATTGGTATCACTATCCAGCATACCTAGCTCTAGCGGGCTGCTCATTCTACTCTCCTCTTACGACTTCCAGCACCCATCCTGATAATATTGGCCTTGATGATTAGTTTAGATAAGAGCCAGGGAATAAAAGTTGCTCCGAACATGATGTAAGCCGAGTTCATACCTGATTTTAATTTTAGTTTTCGTCATTCGAGCTATTACACTATTCTTAATGTACCTACCATCCAAGCAGCGTAGATTGCAACAAATTGCAATAGCAAGCGACGGGATCCCATGTATTACTTTTCATACCTCGCAAGCCTCGCTGATCCCTGAGAATGTTTTAGGACAAAGCGAGGCTCTGGGGCAAACTGTAGGCTTAACCTAGGACGTTCAACTTTGGCCTCTTCTCTATTGGGATCGAATATGGCACGGGAGAAATACCGAGGAGCTAAACTTTTCGAATTTTTTTTTTTTTTTTTTTTTTTTTTTGAGGTACCCTACCGGCCCAGACAGCATAATGCTGGAATCACTCCAGAGACTTTAACGTAAGGGAAGAAAAGTAGGCGCGCCGACAAACAAGAGTCGCTTGACGCATGGAGACCTTTGCTTCAAAATTGTATTCGCACTTTGAACCACACCAGTGATTTTCTGATATTTGGTGGCACACATTTGTCCTTTCCCTGAAACTTCGATCGGCGAAAAACGCGATTTGCAATGGGTACGCTTAATGAAATTTGTGAATGTGGCTTCATTGAAGTATGACGCGGAAGAGTATTTGGAAAACGTTTAAAGAAAACTGTGGTAGCCACGTGAAACTATGCGGAAAGTTGTGCATTCGGACAAATTTTCAGACTTTCAGCCGAACGCATTCATACCTTACGGGACCTGCCTAATTGCGCCCGCAAACGCGATTTCACCTCAAGTAAGTAACCTCGAATTTCGGAACCTCAGGAAAATAACACCGAAAAAAAGCAAAGTTGATTTAACATTCTAGATGTAAAAAACGTGTGCAAAAAACGTTATAACACGTTATAACGTGTTATAAAATTCAGAATTACCCGGTCACAGCAGTTAATTTTACATCTTGGCATTGCGAAAGTAACTGCTACAGCGGGTAATTTAGTATTTTTTAAGTTCTCACACACTTTTTTACATCCAGAATGTTAAATCAACTTCACTCTTTTTTCTGTGAAAATTTTTTGTCGGGCTTCTTCATGGGCTGAAAATACATGTTAAAGAATGTGTTGGACGCTACGTAGCCGTTTCTCCTAGTAAGCGAAAGCAGTTGAGAAAACCATCATTTTACGAGAACATTCGATTTTCAGCATTTTGAATTCTTATATTCCAATCAATTACGGAACGCCAAAAAGTGCTCCAATAAAGCTAAATTTAGGAGAAAAGCCTCCTTCTGGGTTAGATTTAAGAATTTTGACTAGCAGTTACGCGATCCAACCATAACAAACACGCACTTGCGATGAGTTTTCTTTTTTCAAGGCAAAATTGACGAAAAAACGGTGGAATCGGAGGAGTTCTAATAATTAAGTGAATGATTTAGTTTTTCACCAATACTGGAGTCAGCATGCTAAGAGATATTTGCAATTACATCTCCAGTCAGTTTCACTATACCTGGAGACTGAAATTATCAGAGCCGGATTTACCTACTTGCCGCCCATGGGCCGCCTGTATTTTACTGCCACCTTCTCAATCATTTTGAAACATCAATACAAAGCATCAAGTGAACAAGCCGGAGAAGAAGGGGTGCATAAGACGCGTTTACCCGTGTTGCGCACATTTTTTGTGAAAGCCCTGTCAACACTAATAAAAGTTCACGGAACTTTGCGCGAAAGATTAGTTCCGTAAACTTATCTCTGTGTGGACAAGGCCTTTCATTTAAAAGAAATGAACAAAAAAAAAAAAAAAGATGAAAGAATCAACATGAATGTGGTTTCATAATTTTAATTTCCGAGACAGCGCCAACCGCACTATCTTTGGCGCAATGCGTGAAGTATCCCTACAGTCTTGTAGGCGCTATGCGTTTCACGCCGCGCCGCGCCGACCGCTGCTGACCAAAGGCTATTTCCATTTAAATCTTCCGTCACATTCATACGGCGCAATGATACAATTATTTGAACTCTCCGGAATGCGCGAGGTATCACGCCGCATTTGAAGATGTTTTCAAAACAGCTTAATTCAGATTCCCGGATTATCCTTTTGCATAGTTCATATTCTTTTGTCATACTCCGTACCACTCGATTATTTTCAATCCTCGTAGAAAAACCACCCATTTGAAAATACAATTCTAGCTGAAGCGCACGTAAGCGCATTCATGACTGCAAAAATGTTAACGGAAATCGAAAAGGCCAGCGTGCATGAAGGCTATCTCCATTTAAATCTTCCGTCGCATTTCTAAGGCGCAATGAATGATACAACTATTTGAACTCTCCGAAATGTGTGAGGTATCACGTCGCATTTGAAGGCGTTTTCAAATCAGCCAAGTTCCGATACCCGGATTGTCGTTTTGCATAGTTCATATTCTTTTGTTATATTCCGTGCCACTTGTTGATATTTAATCCTCGTAGAAAAACCACCCATTTGTAAGTAAAATTCTAGCTGAGGCGCACTTCAGCTATGCATTCACCACTACAAAAATTTCAGAGAAAATCGACAAGCCCAGCGTGCATGGAGGCTATCTCCATTTAAATCTTCATTCCGTCGCATTTCTAAGGCGCAATGATACAACTATTTGAACTCTCCGGAATGTGTGAGGTATCACGCCGCATTTGAAGGCGTTTTCAAATCAGCCAAGTTCCGATACCCGGATTGTCGTTTTGCATAGTTCATATTCTTTGATATATTCCGTGCCACTTGTTGATATTTAATCCTCGTAGAAAAACCACTCATTTGTAAGTAAAATTCTAGCTGAGGCGCACTTCAGCTATGCATTCACCACTGCAAAAATGTTATCGGAAATCGACAAGCCCAGCGTGCATGAAGGCAGGCCCGCCACAAGGGGGGAAACTGGGTCCCTGGTACCGGGGCCCGGGCCCCGGAGGGGGCCCGTGTTACCCGTGAAAAACCACCACGAATTCACATGCAACCCTTGTTTCGTAAGAAAAAGTGAAAAATTTACCTACCCTAAAAATTTCGCAAAAAGTGAATAGATTTTCTGAAACACGCTGGGGCACTGTAGAATTCTTCTTAAATTTTCAAAGAAGTATACTTCTTGGAAAATTTCTATCTATTTTCAAGATTTTCAGTACAGAGGGATATTTTTAGTAAGTGCGTTTCATTTTCTTCCGTCGTCATATGCTAAGAGTCTGCAGTCTGGGCATCCTCGACTTCAATGGCTCATGGCTCAACTCCCTTTCCATAGACAAACGAAGGGGGAGTCCAGGGGGGCCTGACCCTCATAGAACTGAAAATAGTATCATATGCCGCCGCCCCCCCCCCAAAAAAATAAAAATTTTCCAGATGTTTTGAATGCAACAATTCGCAAGTATTTTGTGCTGAAAGTAGGAAAAAAAATAATTATTCCACAGAAATTGATGGAAAAATGCTGTATGGAAGCTTCAAAATGCGTCCGATTAGTCATATAAATTCTAAAATTTCTCGGGGGATGCCCCCCGGACACCCCCCCCCGCTCCGTGCTTGGGGCCCGGACCTGAAAACTGGTTCCAGGGCCCGAGATGGGATGTGGCGGGCCTGGCTGACCGCACTGTTTTTGACGCAATGCGTGAAGTATTCATGGAGTCTTGTAGGCGCTATGCGTCTCACGCCGACCGCTGCTGACCGCACTACGTTTGACGCAATACGTGAAGTACTCATAGAGTCTTGTAGGCGCTAATATGTGTTTCGTGCTGACCGTCGCGGCGCGCCGAGGGCTTCTCTTTTCCATCTCAAGTCCTGGTCATCATTGCTCTCTGCGCCGTGCCGCACCAGGCCAAATTGTGTGTTTGGTTTCTCTCTCAACTAGACTAATGAAAGGCGCTGTATCTTGTATCACCGAAAGACGAACGAATTAGAAATTACTATACTTTAACTCTCATGAAATGAGAGATTTTTTCGCCTTTTCTTGTTAGTAATTTTTTTTCTGAATCCTATTTTTTTTTATACCTACAGTTGAAAAATTGCAACATTTGCCGCCCCCTAAATTTGCCGCCCTGGGCCGCGGCCCATGTGGCCACCCCCTAAATCCGGCCCTGGAAATTATCCATACAGACGATCTCAGAGCTGGTACGTGATAGAACGTGTAAAATTCGACGCGGTAAAGACACAGCCTTTGAATGAGCGCTCTTGTATTCATAATTTGGCGCCACCATTATTGTCAATCTGTGCCATCAGCTCATCAGCTTTGGTAATTGGTGACTGTCGTCCCTCTCTCTGTTTACACTCTTTTGTAGGTTATGTTTGCAATTGGCAGTCCGAGTCCGCATGATTCTGATTCCGCCGTCTACCGTGTACGAGATTGTTATTTTTCGTAGGAATGCAGTTTTAACTTACGTATTCCTGTTTGTTCTCGGGCATCAATTCCATAGCTTTCGAGCTCCTGAAGTTTTGTTTTCTTTTTCAAGTTTTGAGCCCACACAATGCCCCTTCCGCCAGCCCTTGCTGCTAGACTCTCCAAACGAGGCATCGTTCCACAAGTTACAGAAGGTAAATAAAACAATAAATTTTTTGCTGAAAAGGATCAAGTCATAAGTGGTCAAGCTATACATCATTTGCTTGTCATTGAGAGATTCTTCTAGACAGTTCCTGTTCCTGTACGCAAGAAGGTAATGAGTTCTTTTGGGAACTAATTCAGGGAACGGTTCAAAAAATCTGCGGTTATCAAACCTTGTTGTCAATGTAAACTGATCCCAGATGGAAAGTTTCTTTTTATAGCAATTGTAATCAGCGGAGCTGACAACTGAGGCGCCCTGTTGAGGTTTAGACGAAGGAGGTCTTGCATACGTCAGGGATTCAAGATTTAAGTACTTCTCCTTCTTTAAAATTTTACAAGAAACACAATGGTGCCACAGGCAGATAACTACCTCAACCACTACCACCTTGGCTGGCCTGTTCATTTAGTTACCTAACATGTGAGAGCTGAGGGATTTTGAATTCATAATCATGCTCCTTAATTCGTGTCAATTTTGATCAATTGTTTCCGGCCTCTTTAAGATGCCGGAACTGTTCCACATATTTTAATATAGTTAACTATAATAAAAAATATAAAAGACCCGGTTTTTTCAAATTCTGTTGCTGTTTTCAGAAAAACCAAAGCCAACTGTCAACAAAGATGATGAAGAAATTATAGCAGAAGATTATGATGACCTCAAGAAGAAAGAGGAGCTCATGAACAGCCTGAAACACTCCTATGAAAACTCTGATGAAGGTGAAAAAAGTGAAGATGAAGAAATGTCAGACTCGGAGTTGGTGAAAAGGAAATTCAAAGTAAGTGCAAAAATTTCTTCAAATCAATGGCTGTACGCCGTACCTCAGATTACAAAATTTTAATTCTCACTCGTGTTTTTTTTTTTTTTTTTTTTTTTTTTTTTTTTTTTTAAAGATAAACTGAAGAACAGCTTCTGTTTTGAATTTTCTGTGAATTTTTTTCATTCTTCTTGAGAATAGCACACAAAAGTGGATCCAGTCTGAATAATTCTTGGAAGAAAATTAAACACAATCAAAGATTTTTAAATATTACAATTGAAGCGGACAGCTACAAAAGGGCTCAAGCGCTAGGTATTAAAATACAGAAAAAACAGTTGAAACCATATGAACCAACCCGTTTTAAATTTCAGATTGATTGATAATATGACTAATTATTAATTCATTGCTTTAGAGCTCTGAGATTCACAAGGGGTCAATTAACACGGTTATATACATAGTTTTTGCTTTTTACCAATAAAATTCACTTTGGCTCTTATGTCTGAACCTCTTGAGAAGCAGGAAACATTCGGAAAGGTGAATGATTGAGCTCGCATGGCGCTAAGACCAATACAGATTTCCAACATAATTATTTTTAAAAAAGTTGTTTAGATGTCATTTTAAAAGTATTAAAGATAAATTAGAAACTGACTACACTAGTCATGTTTAAGGCAAACGAAAAGTATAATGTTAAAGTGAATCCACAGTGTGAGAAAGAAAACATTAAGTTTTCAAACACATTTTGCTTACTTATGCTGTTAATTGCTTTTTTGTTAATGAAGTTTTTCATTTTAGGGTTATCCAGGCTGCCCAAATAAATGTAACATTTATCATGAATGCACAAAGTTTTGTGAGGAAAATTGGGGTGAAGGCCACATAGAACCTGATTTGCGCTATCTGCACAGGAGGAAGTTATTGTTAGAGAAGTATCCTTTGCCCAGTAATTGGAGAGAAATTTTTGATCCTGGAGTGTAAGTAAATCTAATTTTCCACTTCATACTGATTCTTTTTCATTTCCTTTCTTCATCTAATATTCTGATTTGGTAGATTTGCACATTAGCGCTCAAAAATAATAATCAAATAAAATGGTACAAGAAACTTCAAATCCTACAATTTTCTCTAAGCCACTTCTCAAATTAAGCTTTCTTGTCTTAGGTTTAACCAAAAATAATGCACCTAGGTACAGATCTAATTTAAAGTAACTTTAGACAAATCAGACTACATAGGAACAAACTTCTTGGTGAAGCTTCTTGAGTCTATTCCGTAGAATTCTTCACAAAGTCAATTTTGATGGATAGTTTCTTTCTTTGCATCAAATGCCGAAGCCATTTCTTTAGAAATCTGAAAACACAGCTCAATTTGCTTTAACATCTGCGAACTATTCTTCTCTTTCATTTTACTGCGGAGCAGAACTGAAAATTCCTTTGAGTGCCCTCCTTTTGTAGCAAGTTAGTACCTTAGTTCTTGTTAGCTTTAAAATTATCCAATATGATTTTTTGATCACAGTGGAAAATTCTATTACTGGGACTATGACACGGATAATGTGAGCTGGCTTCCACCACTGCACCCGAAAGCAGTCATCAGTGAATCGGCAGCTCATATACGAGAAGAGAGGTATCTGGCCGCAGGAGACAAGGCTGATGATGATGAAGGAGATGATGACAAACAAGACGACAACAACTCGAGTGACTCTGAATCTGACGATGGATCACTGCATCACTCCTCACCAAGTGAAGATTCAGAAGAGGTATGCCTGAGTTGATCTCACTTTTTGCCGCCTCGAGGCAGCTAAAAATTTTCTGCCCTCTCAATGCTTGCAGAAGAATAAATTTTGTAAAGGGGTCCAAGAGGCCTTTTTAAAAAAAAATGTAAAAGAATGATGCTCCTCTTGAGCAAGTTTGGCTTATTTTTGTGTGAAATCTTCCCCGTGTTGCTGTTATTCTTTTGCACAGTTGTTTAAAATGTATTTGTCCAAAAAAAGTAGAGCTGTTCAGTGTTTAACAGGAAAATGGTGCATATTTTTTCCGTGGATTCTTGAGGACACTCAATGTACTAATGAAGCTTTTTTCTAACAGTATATTAACTTTTGATCAATCACAATATCACTATCTGTGCACAACTCCACCGTTCTGATACTTTTCCTTTCACAATATCACTATCTGTACACAACTTCACCGTTCTGATACTTTTCCTTTCACAATTGGCCTCGTGACCTGCAATAATGAACCGCCAGGCTCTATTTCTCAACTCCAAAGAGATAGAAAAAATTATCAAGAGACTGAATAAATTATTTCTTGGTAATCTTGAAGGTCTATGTATGATTCCGTCCCTTGACCTATTAAAGAGTGACTCATCAAATGAAACTGATTGTTATTTGGAATTATTTTCAGAGCGACACGGAAGAGCGCCTACAAGAAGAAAAGCGGCGGAAAATAGAAGAACATGAGAAAGCAAGAGCCCGAGGAAGGACTAAAAAGAAACACAATGATATTGACCCTATGGACCCTGCGGCCTATTCTGATATCCCTAGGTACGGTTTCGTCAGACCTACACAAATCAGTACAAGTTCAAAATTGAAACAGAAAATAATTTCAGTTTTTTTTTCCTTGTCATTTATGAATTCGTAATATATTTTAAATTAATATTAAAGTCAGTTGTTCAATGCAGATGATTTGGGGGAAATGAATAAGAGAAAACAAAAGTAGGAGATTGAAAAAGAACCATTTTGCTGATCACTGATAATGAGAGAGGCGGCTCTCAAAATAATTATTTGTTTCATACATTTTGTAACAAAAGTGAGAGTGTTTGAATAACTTTAACAATATCTTCCTTGTATAGACTTATATTTATTTTGTATTTTAGCCTAGGGTCTCAAAAACCCTTCAAAATCTCAAAAATTCTCATTTGGGCCAAGTTGAACAGATACATGTCTAGTCGCATTTTGCGAAAAAAAGGAGCTGGGAGGAGCGTTGAATTCAACTATACAGTTAGTTCTATCTCCTGTCAAGAATTCTAAGTTGACATAAAATACTGAGAATGTAAAAATAGCCCTAAAACTCTGTTCTTAACATTGAATCTTATTGGAGGAAAAATGCTCTAAACTTCCTTTTCTCAGTTCAGGCTAGATGCATTTCTGGTCTATGTATACTAAAAATTCAGTATCTTTCTTCTCTTCAATGGTTATATGTTGCAGGCAAACAATCAAATCAGACATTTTGTCTGATGCCGAGTCAAAGTGTCGAACATACTCACTCAGATTAAAATTTTGACTCCTCTGCTAATTTTGGACAAAACAGTATTGTCTTCATAGATCGGAAATGTTTTTAAATAATGATTTTTAGCCCAGAAATGAACATTCATTCCACAAGATACAACATTTTTTAAACTACAGAGTTCTTACAATATTGAGAGTTAAAAGTATATGAGAAGCATTTAGAAAAAGAAAACATACTGATTGTTTGCAGTTTAATGAATTCTAATTTTCAAAATATGTAAAATTCGAGAGCTGTTTGTAAAAACATAAAACTGCATCAACTTTCAAAATTTGACCATCTGAAATGCCTGATTTGACTATTTGTCCGCAGCACATATATATCATTACTTGTGTTCCTTTGTAATCTTGGGCACTTGTTTTTTTTCAGGGGAAAATGGACGGATGGTCTGAATAGGAACAATGAAGCGAAGACAGGCGTTGACGTCACAGTCTCTGGACCCCTCTTTCAACAGAGACCTTATCCTAGTCCTGGTGCAGTTCTTCGAGCAAATGCAGGGAAGAAAGAAAGTAGTTGAGGAGAATGAAATCTGTTTGATCTCCTAATCCATTTCTTGTAATGTATTTTAATCAGATGTTGAATTTTACCACCAAGGTTTCGAATTTCAAAACCAAGCATACTGGAATCCTAACCATTCAACATCATACATCTGACTGGTTGTCTGACTTCAAGAAAGTTAAACAATGCCCAGGTTAACTCACTGTTTTGATTTCCTAACTTCTGAGATGTTTGCAATAATGGAGCATGCAACAGGAATTTTGAATTCATCCATTTAATTTAATCTTGTGTAAAAATTTTTGAGAGACATTACGATATCACTGGTTGTCCCTATAAATCAGCTTTCAAGCTCAGAACCAGCTCTTAAATTTAAGGCTGCATTGAAAATGATCAGAGTTAGTCTTACAAGGGAGTCTTGCTATGTCTTAGACTTAGGCTCTCTACGACTTGCATTGAAAAAATCTGCACTTTGAGTGCTACACCTTACTAATCATACAGATTATTACAGTCAAGCTCCCAATATCTGTTATTTTGTAACCGACAGTAGGTTATCTCTTTTTGTGAAGAAATCCTCATTTGATCTCAGTTCAAGTTTCAATGTGGTGTTATGCCACCGACTTAAGTTTCTGAGTTTTCTGTACCAACTTGTGTGTAAGTTTAAGAAATACCCTCCTCTCTTAATCGCTGATAAATCCACCCATTGTACAAAAAGTCAATAAATTATTTTTGTTTTTATCTTTATTAGTTTCATTTAAATTCTTTTCAACATTCTTTTCTAAAAGTTATCTGCATCATTTCTAAAGGATAAAACCCCTTAAATTGAAGGAATTAGGATTCAGCCATGGCATTGATTTATTTTAAAATAATAATAATACCAATGAAATATTCGATAATATTTGTTAATTATTCTAAACTGTGATGTATCAAGTGCATGCATATTTGGGGACGTACCATCAATGAATGGCAGCAGGGCATTGGCGAAGAGACTCTAAGATCCAAGTTTCCCATGACCTTTGGTTGGAAAGGTACATGTGAAGTTTGGGTGTTACAGAGTGCCATAGTGCGCTTTAAGATCAACATGTATATGTTTATAATTATTTCAAGTACGATAGTCCTCAGAAATGTCATTCATTGTGCTAATTTTAAGAAAAGTAAGATCTGAAGTTGAGCTATCTCACAAGTGCATTTGCTACATTTCATGAGACAAAAATCTGTAGATATGTTATGTTTGAAATCACATTGTTGAGCGAGGAAGATTTCCTTTTGATTGATAATCTAAGGCTGAGTCTTTTTTTTTATCTTGTCCTTTCACTAATGTAAATCTATTTTCCTCATCAAAAAGAAAAAGCGCAGGAGCCATTAGACCAAGGTAGATTTACACAGGTATGGAAAAGTTGAAAATTTCCCATGAGCCTCAGTACGTGTCACGTGACGTAGGTTAAGGGGCCCGTTTTTTAATTAAATTACAATCAAATTAACATTCAAACGTTTGTGCGTTTAAACGTTAAAATTAATATCGCATTATCAAAATTGTGCAAAAAATCCCACAAGATTTTGACAAACGATAAACCGAACATAATAAATCAAAATAATCAAAACATTCAAAATGGCTGACGTTAAGGGGCCGCTGGAGAGCCAATCAGAGGCCAGTTGTTAAGTTCTGTCCATACCTGTGTAAATCTACCTTGCATTAGACTACATTCTGCAACAAGAAAGGAATCACTATTTTTAAACGTTTAAGGAACAATGCATGTGTCATTAGTCTCTCTTTGCATACAAGCAATTTTATCCAGATTGTTCATAAAAACTTTTAAGTTAGTAAAAATTGAACTTTGTTGTGAAGGATATATTTCGGAATTAAAGTTTCAGCCAACTATCATGTGCCGCTCTGGTATATAAATTCAAACGAGCATAACGGAAATTCTGCTGTGGAGTATTAAGAGGAAAGTGACCTTGTTCTTGTTCCACTCTTAGATTTTACCACATAATTATTTGCATCATCAGCCATTCTCCAAAAATAAAGATAAAAATCAGGTCTTCAGCTGATGTAGAAAGCACTATTCCATTAAAGCTGGTGGAACATTCCGACAATTCGAATTTTCCCGGGGTTTTGATTGGGTTTTTGAGGCAACCAATCAGCTGACGCCTCTGAGTCAAGACAATTCGGCTCATGGATGTCACAAACGGGAATAAAGATTACAGAAATTGAACGTTTTTCGTAATCTTTGATCGGCCCATTCTCAAATGCCTTTCTCCGTTCCTCCTCTCATTCCGTTTGTTCCTTGCCGAACCCGTAATTCCCTGGTCCATTTCAGATTATAATCTTTGCAATTGGTGAAAATGTAATCTTTATTCCCGTTTGTGACACTGTGGAGGCCTAAAATACGGGAACCAATCAGAAATGGATTCAAATTGTCTTGACTCTCAGTATAAAGGGACTCTATACACAATGTGATTGTTTTGATAACTAAACCAGACTAACCTAATAAGGTGAAAAGTGTTTAATTTTGTAACTACAAATAATATTAGTTTTAACCTTGTGAGTGATTAATTACGTGAAATATATTTTAATTTACTCCAGATTACGTTGTCTCAGTGAAATAATAATTAATTATCTCTGGAGGAAGTGTTTTAAATTAATTCATCGTTCTCAGGCTGCTTATCAAACACACCGATCTCATTGTGATGACTCGAATCGCACCCAATTATCACACAAAGCAGTGGGGAAGATGTCATTCACACTAGGTACATACCTGTTTCATTAGTCCCTTAAATTCTATTGCTAGCATTTGTCCTTATCTCACAGTTTTGAGGTCAAGAACTTTGTAAAACAGCAAGATAAAGAGGTTAGAACCAAAGTTCGGAGCTAGTCACTTAAACTTTTCTTTGGTAGGCTGTCAAGGTAGTCACCATCAAAGAAGAGACTCTTACTGAAGCAATTTATTCAATTCTACACTCTATTCTGTAGGTTTCTCGACTATTGTCATTGAATGGTGGCGTCAGTTGCTGGTGGAATAGTCACCGTTAACTTCTTGTGCAGGATGTTCGATGACATTTTCACTCACTCCCCTACGTAGGTTTTGCAACTCTTCACTTCAGTGAGTCAGAGTTTATAAGATAGAGTCAGTGCTTTTTATTCTCTCTTTCACTGTGCTCTAGTATGTTTGACTGCAGATGTTTTCAGTTCTCTGCCCTCTTTGCATGAGGCAAGTAGGTGAATTTTATCCTTTTACTTACACCAGCAAGAAAATTTTGTTCTTATGACTATATCATATGCTTATAACTCAGCTTTTTTGCGAGAAATTTCTGTCTTGGGTTTGAATCCTAACTATTGAATGTATTGTACCTAGTGTTTTAAAACTTCTGCTCCTATTACTTAGATTTTTTCAGAGGGAAACAAGCCAACGTAATGGCATTGAAATTTATGCCAAATTCTGCTGACAGGAAAAAATTATGGAAGTCTTTAAGAAATTTTGTTAACTAATTCTTCATAGAAGAAATAAGGCGTGACAGGAAGTTTGTAACAGTGCGAACAAAGGTATGTTGTTTCGCACTTTGGCCGTGGATATAAAGATTGGATATCCAAAACATGATAAGCGCCATCATGTGGTGACAAGATTGTACAGCTGCTGCTCTTATTTATCAGGAATCCAGCGGTTTAAAAATAAGAATCCTTGTCTTGAAAGTAGGGGAGATTTTTAGAGAAAATTTTCCATTAAGTAAGTAAGAAGTCTACAGTTTGAAAGCAGTAAAGTTCTTTCACTATGAGGAACACCATGCACAATCTTAGCAAAACCAAACTAATGGCGCTTATCATGTTTTGAATTCAACAGCTCAAAGAATTTTAGTAATTTTAACTGATCATCTTTTGTGCAGACTTCTGTAACTTTAAGTACAATCTATCTCTGGAATAATATTATTTATCTTACACTCTCTTTCAGGATGACTCTGTGGATATCATGCTGGAAATGATGGATTCTTGCAGCATGTCAGAGTCTGTTGAAACTCTATCCGGTGATGTAAGTGAACCAAATGAAACTGCTAGAGGCTCAAATGGACCCGCGTTTGAGAATGTGATGGATTTCACAAAGAAAATTAACTCCTCCACCAGTTCTCTAACTTCTCCTGTTGATTCGGGGGTTGTCCTACTGGATGAGGTAGAACCTTCGACAGATACAAAAAAAGTAAGTTCTGGCTGTTTCCTCTACTTTCACCTTGTTTGCCTCATTTTAATTAATCTTGGATGTTTTATGGACTGGAAAAGTGACAATTGAAAGTTTTGCCTTCAGCCCAATATACTGAAAGAACCAATTAAAAGTAATTTTCGTGAAGGATAAATATCCTCCCAAAATTTGGCTACAAATGAAGTACCTACCCTCAGCAAAAATTTACTTCTCATTTACCGTCATTACAACTGTAATATTAAAGTTGAATTAATGACAATAATTGAACTAAGTTCAAAATTGTTAAAACAGAGTAAGTACCTGCAAAATGCAGGTGGGTTGATTTGATCAGTGGTGAATGTTAAGATAAAATAGAAAGGAAATTTCAGAGATTTAAAACCGACTTCCAAACTTGCAAACCACATATCTCTGTTTTATGACGTTGCAGACTTCCTGTCAGGCTTTATTTGATAAATAGAGAACCACTCAATGTCAATACCTCAAAAGTTTTGGGATTTTTTCTCTGTGCAAAGAAAATTCTGTGAAAACTTCAAGGAATGATGTTTATTTGTTCTCCTTCAAAAACATAAAACGGAAGCAAATATTTAAAAACACCACAAACAAGGTTGTGGTGTGGGAGTTTTACCATCGAGACATGATGTCACACTTCAGCCATCAATTTGAAAGTCCAGAATTTCTCACTTTCTTTGACTCTAAAATTTTGTTGTCTTTGGTTTCTCAGATTATTTTACATACCTACTTATGTATGAGAGATCTAAAAGTACCACTGACTCGGTGTTACATGCTTACATGGCATTCAAGAAAAAATTAAATGAGGAAACAACAGACCCCAAAGGGCTCCTCTTTACTTTTTTCAAGAGTTTTTCCCCCAAAAATGGATAAGGTTTTCATTTTTTTTTTTTTTTTTAAGGGAACTAGGTAGTACTACTAAGGCAATTGAAAAACGTACTTTTTTTTTTCTTGGGTATCTTTTATTTCTTATGGATTATTTTTTGCAGGAGCCCCATGTCTGTGCGATTCAAGGGGTCGAAGCTGTCGAACCAACAAGCCAAAGCACTCCTGTGTCAGGTGCAACCACTGAGCAGGTCACCGGAGATGATGAGATAGTATTCCAAAGAAAAACCCGCAAAAAAGTCTTGAAAGATATTAAAAGCAAGAGGGTCTCATTTCATGAAGATGTCAATACCCTTGATGCAGCAGAGAACAAAGATATCAAAATCAATGTCGGTCTCACAGACAGAGTCAGTGCTGACATCCTCACGCCAACAGAACAAGGACAAGATCTTAATAGTTCATTAGTGTTGAGCTCTAATTTTACAGAGCCGGTATTTTCAATCGAGAAAATGTTCTCTAAACTAAAAAATAGTGTTTTAACGTTAGCCGAACGAGGGGTTCCCGAAGGACAGGAAGACCCGCTCAATTGCTCCTCATATATCGAATTCGACTCTTCACTATCATTCGGTTCCAAGCACCTCACGCAAACTAAAGCGTCAGAGTCTGATCGAACAAGTAAGATTTTTATACATCAAATCTAATGTTAAGTCTTTAGAATCTTCATATTTTCCCGCTTGATATTTTACTTTTTATTGACAATGAGTCACAAAGTAAATTTCCTTGTTTTACATCTTCCCAAGTATAATAGATAAAAAAAAAAAAAAAAAAAAAAAAAAAAAAAAAAAAAAAAAAAAAAAAAAAAATAATGAGTGGAAAAGTAAAGATACATATCAGGCATACTTTCAGGTTTAAAAGCAGCTCAAAATTATAAAAATCCATTGAGGATCTTTCACTAAAATTCAAATTCACTGAGACACTTCTGTTGCTGCATGTCCCCCTCTCACTGCATTAGTGGTTTGCACCAAAGTTTCCCAATTCTGCTCACAAAAACAAAGCATAAATTTATTTCAATCCACCTTTAATCTCAAATTCATTTTAGTGTATGCATATGACATTTTTCATCCATCGGTTAGCGAGTTAATAAGATTTTTTCCAACACTGAACATCAGCAACAATGCGCGCTCATGTTTAAAGTTACAGGGAAATTATATACACTGCAAAAATCTTGATTCAAGTAGAAAATTTGGGTCGAGGTCTCATATTTTAGTCTCCTTTGCCATCCTTTGCCATTAGTATTCCAATTTTGAACTAATACTTCAGTCAGAAGTGCAAATAATTAGGTCTAGAAATGATTTCAAAGTACTCAGTTTGACTTAAAAATATGTCTACTTATGTTGCAGCGAGGTTGAAAAGTCCCGCCGTGAGGAACGTCCTATCTGAAGCTCCATCAAAAGCTCCTCTAGTCAATCGGTTTCTACTATCACTACAAATGAAGGAATCGAGAAAAAAGCATGCTTCTCTAAACCGGCGACATCAAATCAGAGGAATCAAATCTCATCGACCCCTAATTGTCAAAGTTAAACCGTACGACATAAATCTTAAAAGTTTTGAGCATGTTCTGAACGAATTGAATGATGAAATCTCAGTGAATCTTTGCAACAGGTTGGAAACAAACTGGCAGAAGGATGTAGAGGAAAGACTAGAAACTCACCTTTTCAAAGGCAAGGAAGTGAAAATTCACAAGGTTAGTACATATCATTACCCTTGTTCAATTAGACCCATTCATGCAGAAACCCTGGTAGTCAGTAGTTTTTAGAGGAACGTGATTTCTGTGAAGTTGTTTCTTAGCAAGCCTCTAGTGATGCAAGATTAATTTGTGCATCAATAGAAAGTGTAAAGTAAAATTCTAATCAAGCAGTTTTAAAAATCCCTGAACATGGCAGATTATAACTTTCGATTGCCTTTGCTTTAGCATTTATTTTTTTTTTTTTTTTTACTACTTTCAATCTACTACATCGCAACTCAAAGTTGATTAGAAATTTTAAATAATTTTTGTAGCAAAGTGTGTTTAAAACACGCCACCATTCTATCATCCGGAGTTAAAGGTACAGTATTCAAGGTGCGCAATTTGGCAATTGACCAACTTGCAATCTGTCAAACGGTAATTTGATCTAGTTCCTCAAGTCATTTTTGAAAGTTAAAAATGTTTTATCCTAGGATTATTAACCTTAACTGAAATCATAGTGGGTTATGCACTGCCTCATTACTGTTCAACTAAATATGTTAAACCTTCATAAAATTAATTTTCAAGTCTATCTTTATTTTGCCTTTTTTCTTATTTATTCTTCTTTTTTCTAATGTTTCAGGTGTTCAGAGTTTTAAGTACAATTGGTGAGCCTCTGCTCACAATATTAACCGATACTTCATTATTAGTGATAGCTTACGATCAAAATGAGCTGGTCATTCGTTTTTCAATTACTTACAGTAATATCAAAATAATCATGGTAGGGCCTGGAAACTTAACACTAATGTTCATTGAGCAATATCCCTTTGGTCATTCTCACTTCACCATCGTCACGGACAATGAAAATCTTCATGGAGGCAATGATCTGATAAGCCATCTTGAAGTTATAGTCCGCCAGAAGAAATGTCCTACCATCCCTGTCCTTTCCTCGTCGATCCACGAGGATAAGAAATTTTTGAAAAAAACCTCTATTGAAGCAAATGAAGAAACAACATATTGCCAGTGGATTTGGCTTCAACAGATTTTTGCAAGTGACGCTTATGCTCTTGGTCCAATGAGAGAGGGTTATCTCATGTACAGGCAAACAAAAAGGACAAAATGGGCGCCTAGTTTTATTTTACTCAAGTAAGAAAATCCTCTTTCATTTTCAATTCAGCCGTCATTCTCGTTTGTTGCATGTTTTTATTCAAGCAAACTTGGATATTTTTGCAAACTGAGAAATTTGATCTAACTTGAGTTTCTCTGATGAGAAAGTATTAAAAATATTACTATCTTACATAATCTGTCAGTATCTTACATCGACGAGAAAATAATTAAAATAGAAATTAAAGCACACAAATGTTTCAATTGTGTGTCTATTTCGGACTATAAGTTCCTCTTCAACACCTAACATTTCATAGAATCATGAACGAACAAATAAGGCAAATTAGAATCACAATGCATACTTAGCAAATTTAAATAAAAGGTGCAAGTCAAATCATCAAAAACGATTCACAAGTCATAAGAGACGAGTAAAAATTGACACCCAAACGTATCATCGCAAGCAAGAAATTAATGCGGTTATGAAACTATTGATGAAGTAACCTAAATTGTGATGCTGAAATTATTAAATAACATGAATCTTGATTGCAATGTCGTTTTAGTTCCGCCCTTAAATTTCTCTATAAAATAGAAACCAACCAGTATGATTGTATAGAATCTTTGGAGAATGTTCTTAAATAGTTACACCTAAATTCTCAATTGAGATTGTTTGATTTTATTAGTATCGCAAACCAAATTATGGGTGTTGAACATTGCTCCACAGGTAGTATCAGGTTCACTGTCTTGGCAAATCATGAACTTTGGCCTAACATAACCAAATCCATGACTTATCAGGGGCAGGAAATATTTTTTAAAACTAACCTTTTTGTATATTTTGATTGTTTTTTTCAGGGCCAGTGTCATTTATGTATTTACCGACTCAAATTTAAAAATACCCATACACGTTATACATCTTAAAACAAAAAAATTCAAGGGGGCAAGGAAATTTCCCGACTCCAGGCAACCTCATGCCTTTGAAGTTTTATTTGATCCTGACATTTCTGTTCAGTTTGGTGCTGCTAGTGAGGAAGATTTATTTGAGTGGTTAGATGCTGTATCTCTTTCAACTTTTGGAGTAAGTCTTCATTATTTATCCAAGCTCTTGGCAAATATTTTGATTTTCACCCCAAATGCCATCCCATCATCCATTTGTTCCCTTATTAAAAAAGTTGAATGATAGGAAGGGTGTTGTTGAAGATTGAAATCAGCCCCATCCTGGATTTCCGTAATGCCAGCGGTTTTCAACAGCAGAAGGTCTACATCAAACAAAAACAATTGGTTTCTATCAGTCATCAAATACCTGCAGTAAGATGTATAGCTTTGAACATGGCACGCATCTGGGGTCTGAAAATTGCCATTTTTTCATGATTTTTTCAAGCTTCGTTTTTGACCTACATGCAAGAGAGTCTCAGAATGAGTTATTGCATAAATTAATTTCTCTTAAGCCAAGGCCTAACAGAATTATAGGACACTTTCTCACACGGGACATTTTCTTGCTATTTTTCACTACGAAAAATCACATTTACAAAGTAGCAAAAAATATTGACTCAGTCAATACTAATTAAAGTTCCTAGAGCAACTTCCTTTTCATGATCCAACTGTGCAGTTAGGTCATGAATGTTATGGAGGAACTGAGAGACAAGAAGCTAAAGCAAATTTTGTGTCATTTTGTTTACCTGATTGTTTGTATCGACAATCATCCAACTTTAGTAGTCATTTGATTTTGCACATCATTCTAAACATCAAGTAAGGATCATAATATTTACATACAGAAACTTGAAGAAGTGCCTGTTTGCAACAGCCCTGCATTGCCGAGGTTCGATTTTTTCAAAATTTAGTGGTAAAAAAAACTTTAGCCGAGCAACATTCATGTCTTAATAGAAAGATGTACATTCTCAAGTGCGTCAGAATCGAATCAATTCTTTGATCTTCTAATAGTTTTGCTCTTTTTTGCTTTTTTAAATGAATTCTGCAATTTTATTTTCAATTTTTGTCAGGCTGAAGACTGTCAAGTTGTTGCGAAACGCCATTTGGATCCTGTCATTGGATGCTGTCTTCTCCTAACAACAAAGCATATTGTGATGTATCAATTGCCTTGCGAGGTGCTGTCTTGCCTTTTGTTGACAACTTTAAACGTTGTTAAATTTTCATCAACTCATAGTTATTGTGTTCTGGTGAGTATTTTGCATAATACACATTTTTTAAAATTATCCATTTCTCATAATTTCTTCTTTTTCCCACTTTTAAAATAATATTCTCAGTACTCTTTATGGCATCATGCTATTCAAGAATTTAGAGCTTATCAACTGAATAGTTTTTTATTTCTTTAGAATTTGACAAATAATTCTACATTTTATTTTTTTTTTTCTTGCAGGAATTTGATTGTTGTGAGGCTAATGAAACAAACGGAGATTGGGTTATTCATTTCTCTTCAGAGCAAGGTCTCAACAAATTTTATAATGTGTTAAGCTCAGTTTTACCAAATTTACATCAGGTAAGATTTTTTTTTTTTAAGTCTTTCTCAACCTCTTTTACAGTGTATTTATAATGTTCATACTCCGTCTTTAGAGTACATTTTGTGGTGAAACTCAAAAGTTGTTTGAAAATAGAGTCAATGAAATGAATTACTCCCTCGTAAATCTTTAATTTAAACAATGGAAAAAAAATAAACTTTCTCTACTCGCAAGTGAAGTGAGAAAGTAAAAAAATGAAATGAAATTTGAACAGAAAATCAAAGTATGAATGTACAGCACTTACTCGTCCTCTGTAACAAAAAGTTACAAAAAACCTCGTAACGGCGTAGCATATTTTCCCCTCTGCCTATTTAATCTCTCTGTGCCGGATGAATCTTCTGGTGCCCTAAGATCAGCTGCAGGGACAGAGCTCTGTAAATGTTATTAAGGTTCCTTCTAAATGAAGTTTATCCTAGAACAGCACAGCAATACCTCGATCATCCGCTCATCCCTTATCTGGCGCTTCAGTTCGCCAGCATGACATTTAATTTAAGATTATTTCTTCTTTTTCATACACATTGGATGTGGTTTTATGTGTGTCTATACATTTTTTATCCAGCGTTTTTGGTATTTGGCTCAGGTTTCTCCTACAGAGATTAATTGAGGTATTACCATAGAAGGTAATTGATAAGTTAAATGGTAATATTAAATTTTAGTTTAAAAAATGGTCTCATTGCAATTGAATACAATGTGATAATCAAATGATATAAAGTATTTGCATGCTTATTTTGAATTTTTTTCCCCCAGAAATATTTATTTTAAGGATAAGAGGCGGACAGGCCAGTGGAATCATGAGGGAAAATCTCGGTGGGCTGGTCGAAATTCAGAGTATAATGGGCCTGTTGCAAACTTTTGCTAGAGCAAAAATAAGAGGTGTTACTTTTAGAAAGTGTCTCAGAAATCACGATGAACTCATCGGCAAAGTCTGAAATGTACTCCTTACTTCACAATTTGCATAAGAAATTTGCGTTTTTTTTTAGCTTCCCGCTTCAAAAACAATACCATGGCACAGGTGAACATTTTGTTAGAGGAGCCATTCCATCCAACTCCTGCTCCCAATGATACTACGCAATATTCAACATAGCCGACGCCAATCCGCCAAAACACATGTGACCAAACGATGATTAACCGTCTGATAACTGTCGGCATGTTCACATTCACATTTTTCTGGCGTTGATACATATCCGCCTTGATTGACCTCTTGCTCTCCTCAACATTTGCGCTGAAGTGTCGGCCATGTTGAGCAGGGATTGAATGGAATGACTCCTCTCATGAAATGTTCACCTGTGCTGTAGTATCCTGTTTGAAGCTTAAAAAAATGCAAATTTCTTACGTGGATTGTGAAGTTAGGAGTGCATTTCAGAGTTTTCCGATGCGCTCATCGATTTTTAAGTCATTATCTATGAGGAATAACTTTCATTTTTGCTCCAGCAAAAGTTTGCAAAAGGCCCATTGTAATTTTTGGCCAATTTATCTCCTTCACATGGCATTGATTTGATAAGTTGAAAACCTTTTGAGCCTTAGACTTATTCATGGAAATTTTATTATTTTGCTTCTCTACTTTCTACTATCATGTAATTCAAGCAGGTATCTTAAATTCTATTTTTCACAAATTTTTTTACATCCTGTATCTAATCCAAATGCCGTCATTCATAAATAATGCTAAACTATTTGAGCGCTATTTTACTTTTCAGATCACGGATAGAATCGATGTTACTTCTGATTTTGCAATTCGATGTATGGAAAGAAACAATTCGTTGAAAAACGTCTGGTCCTGTTTTCTATGAGAAACGAACTGTCTTTATTTAGGAACAAATTTTTTAATGTAAGTACTCGTAAAATAATTCAACTTTTCAGACGTTCTATTTTCAATGCTTGATTTTGACATTACCAATGTAAGGATTTTTAGTCTGTCTGCACTACAATTTCACAAATCATTCCTCGCCTTGTCCTTTACTTAAATCTTTTTGATGAAGTTATCTAAATCTGGGGCTATCAAACTAAAATACTCAATTATGCACCGAACAAAAATTTCAACAGATTGAATGATGTTGGAGTCGGAAAACATAACAAAAATTAAAGAAACTTTTTAAAATGTTGTATCTTCTCTTATGGCTTCTCATTCCCCCTCCCCCTCCTATAGGAAAGGAACAGTTGAATTTCAAGAAGGGCTTTATGTTGGGAAAGTATTAAAGTAGGCTCTTCTTTTCCTATGATTTGATTACCTAAAATGAAAATACTGGAGGGAACTTATTCCCGGCAAATGGTTTAAAATAGTTAGAACATTTTTATCTTTTGAAAAGTCAGAAGTCCGTATTGAAAAACACTTTCTTTCCTTGCAAAGTACCATGTAGTTTTTTATTCAATTATGAAGTACCCAACTCTTTCATGTTTTAAATTCCAATATTTTACTATCTTTTCATCAAAAATTCCTAAGAAAAATTGTTCGGAAAACTGTCGTCTCCATTCAGCATATCATAGAGCAATGTGCAAGCTCAAAATCCAAAATTATCCAAAATAGTAGAGTTTAGAGGGGTTATGGTGATATGGTGCTGAACAGTCGGGTTTAAGGAGAATCAGCCTAACTACATTAGATGTTGCATAATTTCTTCTAATGTTTTATTTTTTCAACGGATAAATTTTCAAAATATTTACTTGAAATTTTGTGAGTACATAATCTATAATCTTGAGGAAATTCATGGAAAGTTTCAAGGCCTCATATAGCTTTGTTCTGTGCTAAAAAAAATAAAATTGGAGAAGAAATTCGGCAATATCTAATGTAGTTCGACTGTTTCTGCCCTAATTTGTCCCAATCATAATAGAAATCTGAAAACCTCTGTTCATTTTTTTGTTTACTTACCTTCATCATGTATACATAATGATGAAAGTGCATCAAGCTTTCACTGACGTTTCCAGAAAAATATATTTTTGTTGCGGGTTTGAAGTAAATGATTCCAGGGTAAGTAAATGATTTCTCTTGTGGGGGTTTGTTTAGTCTACTTAAAGTCAGAAAGATGTAGGAACAGGTTTTTCTTAACCAATATTGGAACATTTTAAAGCTATTTTTTTGATTGGCAAAGCTTGAGTCGAATATTTTTCTCTCCAATGTAACTAAAATATATCTCTCATCTTTTATACTCGTATCTTATGCTTATATTTTATAAATATTGTATCTTAGGTACTACATTTTGTTTAGCTTGGATGTATTGTTAGCATAAGTTTTTGTCAAATAGTAATACAAATATCACAGCAAATGTTACTTTAATCCTCCGACTTAAATTTTGTCTGAAGATTCAAGTATGTATGTATCCTGATTGCCATTTGATTTTATCGTAAAACTCATGCAGGCCACTTCCTGTTACTCTCCCAAAGTTGGCAAACTATATTGAAATTAGCCGCAACATTTTATTGATGCTGAGAAATTCACTCCATGATTTTTTGATCATAGATATTTTTTGAAAAATCACCCTCATATTTTTTTGTCTCTTTTTACTTGACCCAAGTCCGTTCCCTGTTTTAACCTTTTATGTATCATTTTTATTTTGCTTCAAGCTGGGAAAATGTTTCTGCCTTTCTACCTACTTTTCAGGAAGCAATGCTTCATATTTCAACCAGATTTTAGCAACTTTAATCAATCTCGACGTAAAAGTATTGCCTATTTTCTCTCATGATTTGCAAAGAAAGAGAAAAGAAAAGAAAAAAAATCGCCTCAAGATTTTTCAAGACAATCCAGAAATGTCAAGTTTTTAGGCATTATAATGCCCAGTTGAAGATATAAAAGATGAAAGGCAACAAGAGATGCAGTTAGGTTGATTCTGGTTGAAGTAGCATGTTAGTTGGCTCGTCCATATCAAAACAGTTGCTATCTCTCCTTCTTTTAAGTCGGGTTTTTGTAATCTCAAATTTTTTTGCGTAATTTTGACGTATCTAAGATCTCACACAAGTCCACCAAATTCGTTTACGCAGGATATAAAATTTAAAAGACCGTTATAAAGTATTTTGCTTGGTTCAACGGTTTAATTATTTGCAAGGAAGTATGAGACTGATGAAAAAATAACACTGAATGATATCTCACGAAAAAAGTGCACCAAATTTTACCTGCACCAACGAATTTTTCAAATTTCTAAGATTTCTTGCAGTGGAAAAGTTCAACTCTTGTTATGTACATTAATACATGTCATTTTCAAGGTTCTTTTTCTGCGGCTCAAAGAACCCTTAAGAAAAAGAGCTTCTTAGTTTAGTTTCTGATGTTGAATTATACTATTCCTCCCACTTTACCAATGATTGGAATCAAATCTCCGTAATTTATTGTGATATACTAGCGTTATCAAATTTCTACCCTCATCATTAAACAAGTCTTGTTTTGAATGTTTGTTGCTATTATTAGTTGTTACTTCTGAGAAAATGAAAATCTATGGGAGCTCTTGACTCTTGAGATGACGTCTTACACTTCAAGTCCTTTTTTTACCTATCAATAAATTTATCTATTTTTCCTCATTTGTTAAGTCTGTTACTGAAGGACTCCTAGTTATTAATTTACTGACGTTTGTCCTGGTTCTTCCTCTATGTGAAAGGTGTTACAGAGGTCGCTAACTGATGAATTGTGATTGATTCTGTTCTGAGAATCTTGTATATTGGTCAAAAATATTTTATCACTTTTAATGGCAAGTTCTGCACAAAGTTAACAAAGCGATTTCTCTTAGGAAAACTTTCCGTACATTATCATCCTTCCTCTAGTAGAATTGACTGGAATTGACAAAATTAATGTGTTCATCATAAATTTCAAAGAGAAAACTCTAAAAGCAAACTGTTAAAATGTACAGGCTAGGAGACCCTTTTTGTTTTTTTCTACAGAAAAATGCCATCTTATTCTCGTACAAGTATCACTTTATTTTGTGAATTTTCTCAAAAATTTTAGTTTTTTATGTTGCATATTTTGCTGTTTTTAGTCGTGCGGCGAAGCCGTATAGACTCTAGGTTTCGCCGGAGGCTAAAAAGTGTCCACACTTTTAGGCTAAGTCCAAGAGGAGAATTTTCGAGGAACCAAGTAACATATGAGGTATTGATATCGGTGCATTTTGGCCCAATGGAGATGTTACATGTGCGAGGAATTTGCAATTTGACCGTTGATTCTTGTATAAAAGTTCGCGAGGAACACAATGGTGCCACTGGTTTTCTCTGAAATCATCTTCCATGCTCAAAAAAACCTCTCAAGTTGAGGCCAAAATGGAGGGGATATCCCAACCTACCCTGAAAGTCCACGTTTACATGAAGACAAACTCTCCATGCAAAGATAGGGAGCAAATACATTAGCAGGGTTGCCGTGT